CCTGGCACCTGCTGGCCATCCAAGCGGCTACACCCTGTATTTCTGTTTCTCCCAGCTCCTAGAGGGCCCTGTGGAGCTCTCTGTGTTGGGCACCCCACGGCCCCTGCCTCCCCACCACCCCACCTTGTCCCCTCGCTCGATGAATTTGATCGCCACATTCCGGCCTGTCGTTCGATCCAGCGCGAGTTGCACAAAGCCGAAAGTGCCACTGTTCAGGTCCTTGATCTGCACACGCCGCCAGGCAGCCAGTGGGCGGTCAGCACACCCTGCCGGCAGCTGCAGCAGCCGCTTGGGAAGCCGCAAGGGCAGCCCAAGTCGCGGCATCGCCGGCCCAGCGCGACTTGCTTTTTGATACTTGGGGTGCCCCTCCAAGGGCTCGGGCTTCCTCTGTTGCATGGCTCCAATCCCCGCCACCGGGCCCCCGCCCGCTCCTCCTCCCGCTCGCTGCAGCGTGGAGCTTGTGTGAGTGTGTAGCTTCCGGGCAGCAGAACGGGTGAACCTCACCAGTAGTCGGAGTGTAGGGAAGAAGAAGCTCGCCCACAAGGACGGTGGGCACAAGAAATCTGTACCGCCGAGCGCTCGGCGCGCTGACCGCGCGGCGCTCGCGGACCACCTAGCAAGTGCCGATCCCAGTTGCCATCCATTCTCTCTCACATAGGTACCAGGGACGCGAGGCCAACCAATGCAGGCTGCGCACAATAGTCCGCCCTGGCATCGCCTGTGCTGCGCCGCGCCGCGCTACGCCTGCTGCCCATTTGCGCCCGCCCCTGGAAAAGCTATTGGAGGAGCCCGTGTTTAGATAACGGTGCAGCTGGCAGCGAACAGCAGGGCAAGGCATGCAAGGATGCCAACGTCGGCTGCAGATGGCAGCTGCAGGCCGCGCGGCACTGCCGCTGGGGCCTCTGCCGCCTCGCTTGCTCCTGCGGGGTACAGCACGTGCTGCTGCGGGCCCCGGAAGCCGCGGGCCGCCATAGCCACCGCGATGTTGTCGCACCGCGCCATCAAGTTGATGAACAGCTTGCTGCCCATGCCGACACAGATGGCCAGCGTGCCGCGCAGGCCCTGTTGACGCCAGTCCACACCGCGACTGGCCAGCCCTAGGCACAAGTTTCGGCACTCCTCAAACACCTGCAGCACAATAGAGGTGGCATGGCGATACACAAGGGCCAGCCACGGCAGTAGATGTGCAAAGATTTGCTCTGGAAGGAGCCTTGCAATACAACACAGTTGCTCAACAGCCGGCGGCCCAAACGTCCGCTCCGGGCAGGGCACGCCACCACCCCACCCATTATGTGCGCCTTCTGTTCGGGCGCACTCACCGTAGCCATGAACCGCAGCGCCAGCAACATGGTCAGCACCAGCTCTTTGATGGGCAAGCCCAACACGCCCAGCGGGCCCAGGGCACGGCCCACCGCCCGCGCCATCCCCTCTGGTGGCGTTGTCACCAGGCACAGGCTGGCCGACTGCAGCGCGGCAAAGGTGAGGCCCGCAAAGGCCAGAGCCAGGTTCAGGCTGCGCTTTGTGACGGTGATCCACCCGAGGTGCAGCAGCACGTAACGGTATGGCGGTGCGCCCAGCTGCGCCATGCTGACGGGCAGGTCGCCAGCCACAGCGGCAGCACTGGTGGCAGATGCCATGCTGACGCCGACGGAGCGATTACTCTGTACGGGGGCCAATTCGCCGCCTGGGATGGGAGTGGCAGGAACAGGAGGGCAGGCATGCTTGGGCCGGCAAATCTTGTGCTAACCGGCGAGATGGGCACTAGACAGAGGAAGAAGAGTAGAGTGATAAGCTGAGCTGCAGAGAAAACAAGCACTGAACGCAAACTCCATCCAGCGCACCGATGAGGGTGAAGAGGAAGAGCACGCCGCACAGGCTGCCCAGCCGCAACAGCTGTGGCTGCCACAGCCGCTGCGGCAACGCCACCATCGTAGCCGCCACCAGCAGCCCCGCAATGGCCAGGCGCACAGGCAGCGCGGCGCGCGCCATGATGACCAGCGCTGCTACTGTCCATAGCTGCTTCGCCTCAGCGCTGGCGTGGTGCAAAAATGTCTTGGGCTCGGGCACGTACGAGCTGCAGCCAGGCAGGCGGCACCAGGAGTCGGCAGAGGCCTGCCAGTGACTGGAAGCGCAAAGGATCTGGCTACCTACTGAAAGAGGAGGTCACCATGGCAGACCAACAAGAGGCAGGGGGTGGTCAGAAGGTCGATCCGCCGCCCCCGCTCTCGGTGCTGCGATCCAGTCCCGCTTGCCTGTAGGGCGCTGAAGAGAGGCTCAGGACGGAAGATAGAATGCTTGCACCAATGTTCTTCTTTTGCGCGCCACCCAGGCGGCCTGCAGCCCAGGGCAGAGCCAGGCAGGAAGGGGGGTCACCGGGGCGAGGCGGCACGCTGCGGCAGCGGAGGCGACGGCATGTCTTGCAGGTCTCTGCCTCACCTCCTGCCCCAGCCGCATTGGCCTCAATTGGAGGCCTTCTCCCTGATGCAGGCCTCGCGGGTAAACAGGTGAGGGTTGTTGGGGGTTGCCGCAGCAGGCGCCCGGCTGCAACGTGACGCGCTATTCCAATCATCAAATGACGAGTTCTACTTGGGCCTCCAGCCTGCTGGAGGGCGCTTTGGCGCTGAATGAAGTACACGTCACCCACCCCTGATCCAGTCTCTCCTTCTTCTCCTCCTCGAAAAATTGACACTGATGATGACTGCATTGATGATGAAGCAGGGACACATCCCCGGAGGGCGCCACGCCCCTGCTGCCCCAAGTTTCCTGCGGCACACCGCTTCTTTGCGGCCAAATGTGCTGTCTAGACAGCCGACACCGGGCAGCATCGGGCACTCCCGCCTTTCGCTATTGCGCACAGCCGACCCCGCCGCCGCTCCCGCCCACCCAGCGGCAGAAGGCGGGCTGGCAAGCAGCATTGTGTCCTCAGTCCTGAGCAGGATAGAGGGCACCGACAGCGGCGACAACATGACGGCTGCGCAGAAAGCTGAAGTGGACGAGTTGGTGGGTGATCCGAAGCGATGTATTGTTGTACACATCTCCCCAACCTATACAGGGCTCCTTGACAGCGACTTTCCGCCCATATGCACACGTGCAGCTTCAGCAGCTGGAGGAGATTGGCGATGCCAAGGTGGGTGGAGGCGAGGCCACGTGTGCATGCAACCACTTGGCATCCGCCGGTCACTGATCTCCCCGATTGCGGGTCAAAGCAGAGGCCCAGCACTGGGTCGGGTAGGTAGCCCACCCATGACATCTCATACAATAATTTTTTGTGGTTTTAAAATGACCGCAGGCCCTTCGCCCGCTTGACGATCCGCTTGTGTTTGGCAATTACGAAGTATGGGAAAAAAAAACAAAAAAAAACCTTCTGTATTTATTTTTTACTATTTTTTATTTTATGTACCGCCCCAGTTTTATTTCTTTTATTTTGCAGGTGGCATATGTGAGCTCCGGCCAGCAGCAAAATGGGCAGCCAGCCGGCGGGCGATTCCGGAGCGGCTTGGTGAGACATGTTGCTGTGGCTCTGCCTTCAGTATCCTGCCGCACCTCTTACCACCCCGCCCCTCCCCACACAGGGCAAGCTGCTGTTCCGGACAACACTCCTCGCCCAGAGTATCCTGCCGCCAGCGGTGGTGACCAATAAAGTGAGGCCGGGCCGGTTCTGACTGCTTCAAAAGCCTTGGGAGCTTGTACAACGCTGAAGCCTACCTTGCCCATGCTTCCTTTGCAGGTCCAATTCCGGATATGCCACCTATTCTGCGGCTCCGTCGGGCTTCGGGGCAAGTTTGTGAGCATTCCAGAGAAGGAGGGGGGTGAAAACAGGCATGATACGGTGAAGGTGTTCTTTGAGGCACCCGTGCTGTCCCTACCATTTGGCATACATGTCAGGTTGGCATAATAGTTGACCATTGGAGCTGCACACCCTGTGGTGGCGCAAACGTATATGATCCTATGCCATGCAAGGCTGGCAATGTAGGATTGGACCCGAATCTACCGTTGTTCTGAAGTCAACATTCCTTGACGAGCGCGTGCGGGTGGGCAAGGGCAGTCGAGGCAGCCTGTTTGTTTTCACCCGTGGTGGAGCAGCAGATGCAGCAGGTAACAGTGGCCCGCTGCGAGTGGCATGGCACATGCCTGTTGCCTCATTAACTTTTTCTGAAGCTTTTTTTCGTGTTTGCCAGCCTTACATCCCCGCCGCCCCCACCCCGCACTTGCTGCTTGGCACGTGCATGCTGCCCACTCCTCGTACAGGCATGGATCAAGTGGGCCTGCAGCAGTGCAGTACGTTGGGCAAGGTTTTGCTGTTTGGCATCGTGGCGGCCCTCATGCTCAACGGCGGCTGGCTGACGGTGAACAGCACGCTGCCGCCGGTCATCCGTGCTGCAGGGGTGGTGCAGGTGCGGCTGCAACTCGCTGGCTGCTGGTGGAGCGGAGCCTCCGACGATGGGGGGATCGTCCATGCAGCTGGGGGCTCGCGGAAAGCCACTCAGGCACCACTGGGTTTTGCTGACCTACTTGCACGGTGAATGTGCAGGTGCTGCTTGGCACCGCGCTGGGCGGCATTGGATATCGCGGCGGCATTATCCAGGATGTTGAGGATCGACCGGAGGTGGAGAGCATCAAATGAACAGCAGCATCATGTGAACAGGGAGGAAGGGCCCTGGGAGGAAAGTTGTTGCAGTCCATCCGCGGGCACGGGGAGTAAGCAGCATCAAATGAACAGGCGCTAGTGGCAGAGGCTGAGTTGCTGAATTTCAACAGCAATTGTTCCTTTTCTTTGGGCGCTGCAATGTAGCAAACCGCTCTGCTCTGCGATAGCCTGCAGCCGTGTCTGGCCGTCTCCCGCGGCACTACACGTGCTTCCGGCCCGCGGACTCGCCCCTCCTCCTCGCGTGCTGCATGTCTCATTACACTGAGTCGCAACTCAGCGACGCTGTATGAAAGAGCGCAGCAACACCTCGGGGATTGAGCGCTTCACCTCGGGTGCTACTCGTTCCCGTTCGTCTTTGTGGCTTCGTGCTCAAGCTCACGGCAATCGCGCAATGAATCGAGCGGCGCCAAGGGAGGGCCGGAGAAAGGGTGGCGGGCGGCCTCCATGGCCAGCCCTCTTTCTGATTCTAGGGCGGCCCTGCTGCACAGTGGAGCCGCGGACCAACAGCGCCACCTCGCTCGACGGCGCGTCTAGGGAGGAGGAGTCCAAGGCAGCATTCACCGCCACCGCCGTCGCTACAGGTCCCGGCGGCGACGAGGCCCGCGACGTGCTGCATCCGCTGCCATCCTTAAACCACCGCCATAGTGCATACCCAACCCGGGGCAGCCTGGCCCAACCGGGGCAACCTTCCCCAACCGGGGCAGCCTGCCCCAACCAGGGCAGCCTGGCGCCCAGCAACAGCCGGAGGCAGTCCAAGCCGAGCGTGGGCCGCCGGCCACCCTTTCCCTCCCGCACGCTGGGGAGCCTGACCGCGTGGCAAATGCTGGCCGCGGACGTACAGCAGGAGATGGAGGAGGCAGGTGTGGTGGGCCACGGCAGCCGGGAGTCCGGGGCGTCTGCTGGGTTGGCGGCCACCGGCGCCAGTCGATGTCGCGGCAGCATAGAGCCCAGCCTGGTCATGTCAGAGGGCGACGAGGTGCTGCTGCAGGGCGACACCGGTGCCAGCGACACGTTTGGCTTAAGCGCCAGCGCCGGCTGTGGCGACTCGTTCACGGCTGGGGAGGCCGGCACGTGAGTAGGCTGCTGCCATGATGCCATGTCCATGCTGCCGTCATCGACCAGGCGCTTCGCGTGCGTCACTGCTATATGGCCCCTGCACTGTGCTATCTGGCGCAGGGGGCGACTCCATGCAGAGTTTGAGGTGCTGGGGGAGCTGGGCCGCGGTGCCTTTGGGCGCGCGCTCAAGGCGCGGCGGCGTGCCGACGGCTCGCTGGTCTGCCTCAAGGTGCTGGACACGCAGAGCATGGGGGCCACTGAGAGGCGCATGGTGAGCGGCCGCATGCGAGGGTGGAGGACTGGTGTGCTGCCAGGGCTGAAACGCGACCACACCACATCCTGCCCTCTGCTGGCTGCTGCCCCTCGCTTGCTTGCCTTCCCACCTGCCTTTTGGCCCGCTTGCTTGCTGGCTCTGCAGACACGAGATGAGGTGCGGGTGCTGTCCAGCCTGCAGCATCCCAACATTGTGCGGTACGACACATGTTTCTACGAGCTTGGTGAGGGCTGTGTGTGGCCTGGGCTGTGGAGTCAGGCTTGCTGCTGTCCTACCAGCTGTTAAGAAGTGTGGCGAGGATTCGGGGAGGGAGAGTGTGCAAAGCAGCCTGCTTGCCTGCTCGCTAGCCTGATGAATCAGTGGCGCTGCTGTGCATGTGCAGGTCAGCAGTACATATCCATGGAGTACTGCGAGGATGGCGACCTAGAGAAACTGCTGAAGGCGCAAGGGGGAGGAGGGTTGTTGCTGAAAGAGGAGGATTTGATGGTGAAATTTGTGCAGCTTTGTTTGGCGCTCCAGCATGTCCTTGCCAAGGTGCGGTCCCGTGGACAGCAGTGGCAACAGTTGTGTGCTGCAGTTTCACCAGGTAGATGGGCAGTGTGCTTCGCGAGTGCATTACATTAGCCTTTGCCACTGGGATGCTGCAGGGCATCATCCATCGCGATGTCAAGACATCCAACATCATGCTGAGCCGGCACGGCATACTCAAGCTGGGTGAGGATGCGACAACGGGGAAGAGAAGAAAAGAAACAATAGAATGGCAGCCATTCTGTTTGACTATCCCCCTTCTTTTTGTTCCTGCAGGTGACTTTGGCATCAGGTAACTAGGATGCTCACCTTCTGTAACATGTGGTGCGTCAGCGGAACTGGCAGCAGACTGCTGACGTGCCTGCCTGTCTGCATGCAGCAAGGTGATGACCCCAGGTAAGAGCTATGCCAAGACAATGGTGGGGACGCCCTTCTACATGGCGCCTGAGGTGGTGGAGGTGAGTGGGCCGACATGAACCATTGATGCAAGGTGTGGGGTATTGCCACACACCGGCACTGGTCCCCTGACTCTTTCCCATCTCCTTCACCCTTTTTATCCCCTTTTTAGGACAAGCCTTACAACAAGAAATCGGATGTATGGTCTGCCGGCTGCGTGCTGTACGAGCTGGCCACCCTGCAGCGTCCCTTTCGAGGAGGCTCTGTTTCAGGTGAACTTGAGCTGTCTGCACCTGCGGCGGCCTCTTGCGCAGAAAGAGCAGATCGAAGAGCAGATCGGGGGGGGGACGGCAGTGCAACACTCACTCCCATCTTCACTCCTCTGCAGCCATTGCTGTGAAAATCTTGCGAGGTTACTATGCGCCGCTGCCCGAACAGTACAGCCAGGAACTGCATGAGCTGGTGGCAGCACTGCTGAACCGCAAGCCCGAACAGCGTCCCAGCATTGATGAGGTAACCAGCACTGAGAGTGGCCGATCTCAGCCCTGATCTTCTCTCTGTTCCTGCCAGTGACCACGCCCCCTCTGTACACCCCATGTGCAGCTGCTTCGCTTCGACTACATGCGAGCCGCAATGCGGCGCTACCGCGATCACGTGCAGTGCACTGTGGAGAACCGCAAGGCATCCTACTTCCACTCGCTAGATATGTTCAAACTTGACGCCACCACCACCGATGCGAATGCCACGCTGATGCTAAACCACCTCCAAACACAGGCTTGCGGGCTGGCCGCAGAAAGCAGGCCCTCTGTGGCAGTCCGCTTTCAGCGCCCAGCCAACAGGGAGACCGCTGCAGCAGCGGTAGGGTCCAGCAGGCTCAGTGACGCTTCTGGCCAGCACCACCGGCGGCACCAGCCGCCACCCAACTCTTTCTGCGGCCCCGCTGGTACAGTCATTGTGGTAGCTGGAGGGGCACTGCAACCACCGAGCGCTGATCTGGCCAGCGCTCTGGCTGCTACAGGGGCTGAAGCCCCACAGGATGCGGTAAGAGCAGCGCAGCAGCCATCATCGGTGGCAGCAGCAGTGGCGGCGACGTCTAGTACTGCAGCGGATGCTGGCAGTGGGCAGCGATCTAGAGGTCCACGACACACCAACTTCTGCGCAGCAGCTCACTTGCAGGCAGCTGGGGCTGGCAGGACAAGCGGCAGCAGCCTCGACAGTGGAGATCCCGGGCATGGCTGCGGCAAGCACATTGAAGAGGAGCAGCAACAAGTGCTGCCTGTCCTTGGGGCAGCAAAGCAGGCGGCACCAATCTCGTGCCCCAGCTCTCCCCGCTCCTTGCTTTTCCCCAGCTTTAGCTCGCTGGAGCACACCACCGGCTCAGATGCGTCCACAGCTCTTGCCGATGGCGTGGCAGCTTGTGATGCGGCCGCCCTGCTCCCTGGCATGATTGGCGTTGACATCAGTGAATTGGACAATGAGGACGAGGGTATGCAGCAGCGGCGGCAGGGTCGGAGGGCGGCGCTTCACGATTGCCTGGAAGAACTGCAATCCCAGGCGCTCAACGCTCAGGCGACCGCCCTGCGGAATGCTCTGCCACCACCCGCCTTCCACAGCTGACGCAGAAGTCCTATCTTGTCTATGCGCTGAAAAATATCAAGATTTCTTCTGTTGCCCTGGAAAAGAACTGCAAATAACCACCCCAACTCATTCACCTCACGGGGGACGCCGGCCCCGCGGACACCGCAACGGCGCCGGCGCCAGCTGTGCGGCGCCAGCTGTGCGGCGCCAGCTGTGCTGTTTGACATGGCAAGCAAATCACACCCAGCGCCCGCACACAGGTGTGGTGAATTCATGATTCAAGGCGTTCCTGTTTATCGGGCCCTATGGAGTGGGGGGACTACACCGTGGCCACTGCTTTCGAAAGGTCTGCCTTTCCGCCGGCCCAGCAGCCTAAGTAGAGAGCAATCAGGGCGCTGACCAACTCTAAATCCCTGCTGCAGGTTCGTGGCGACGGTGGAAGCCTGCGTGACGAGCTGGAGGGACAAAGGTGAGCCTCATTGACAAAGGTGAGACAAAGGCGAGCCTTCCTGCGAGTGCAGAGCGCTCCGCGGCGTCTGCACGGTGTTACTGGAGCTGCGCCGCGGCTGCCACCCACCACCACCGCCGCTCGCATGGTTGCAGAGCTGGAGAGGCTATTGTCGAGGCATGCACTGCAGCATGGTGTAGCTGGCGACAAGGCGCTCAAGCTGGAGGCCCAGCTGCAGCACCGCCTGCCCTTTCGACCAGAGCCCTACACGCTCGTGCTGCACCTACCGCCACTGCCAGCCACACACCAGCTCACACCTGAAGGCAGCGGCAGCGGGTTTGGGCAGTGCAGCGCGGAGCTGTTGCCCGTGGCTAGCACCTTGGAGCTGCGGGATGCGCCGCACCGTCTGCAGCAGTGGTTTGGTGCCCGTGCCTTCCTGCTGCTCACGCCCGACAGCTACTCGGGGCGGGTGCTGGACGAGGAGGTGCGTGCGTGGTGATGTCCGGCTGATGATGCATTCCATCGCCGTGTGAGGACTGTCACCATTCCATCGAATGGCGGCTGAGACATGCTGCTGAGCTGCAGGAGGTGCACACGCTGCTGTCGGCAGCAGCAGTCGCGCTGAGCCACGCCCACATCACGTGGCCACTGCTGCTGCCGGTGCACGACGCTGTGCGGGACAGCTACCGAGGCGTGGCGGTGGCGCCGTTGGATCTGGGCGCCTCCACCTTCCATTTTGACACCGACAGCCTGCACAGCAGCCGGCTGCAACCACAGCTGCTGCGGCTGGACCAGCAGTTGTTGTTGTTCGCCAGAAAGCTGGCAGCAGGGGCTCCAGCCGCCGCTGCAGCTTGCCACGCAGCGATTGCCGCTGCGGATCTGGATGCGCCGCCCGCCAGCATGGCAGCTGATGCTGCAGCGGCGGGCACCGCTTCGATGTCAGCTTTTGTGGATTGCAATAACCCACGGGTGGCAGTGGCTGTTCGGCACAGCTTTGCGCTGCCTGAGCGAGGAGAGGAATCAGGTACCGTCTTGCTAATGGCTGCCATGGCTGCATCTGCGATGCTGCCAAGTTGTTGCTGCTAATGGTTGCCCTGGCCTCTTTCTTCATCAAACCAGCTGAGCTGCTGGCAGGTTTTCTGCTGCAGATAGAGGGGACACCAGCGGGCAGGCTGGCGAGTGGGATGAGGGCGCGCCCTGGCGGCCCTGGGCAGCGCAGGCTGACCCCATAGGTGCGCCTCTGGTGTTGGTGTGGCCATGGTTGTGTCATTGCTTCAACCATTGTTGGAGTCTTTGATGGCATGGCACAGCTGCACCACACTGCCTCGTCTGACAACCGAGTTTCCCGCTCTGCAGGCTGTTTGGAGCTCGATGTGGTTTGGCGGTTCGGCACTGCTGCCTCGGCACTACAGGCCATGTCTGCATCCGGCTTGAAGCCTGCGCAGACAACTGACTGGCGGCTGCTGGCGCTAACCGAGAGCTACGAGCGCGACACCGGACACAGGGGTTTTGTGCTACGCCCAGGCAAGCAGTGCTTGCTACCGATGAATGCTGGCGCCGCTGCTGCGTTTGCAGTGCGACATTGGCGTGCAGTGCTGCTTGTTCAGTCGCTGTGCTTGCTAAGCAGCTGGTGATCTGTCCGATGCCCTCATTCCAAGCCCCGCTTCTCTGTTGTGATTGCAGTGGAGAAGCCGCGGCGGTTCCTACAGTTGCAATCCATTGCTGGTCACCGTGCGCGACTGATCCAGTCGGGTCAGGCCAAGGTTGCGCCCTCTGTACTGCCTGGCGACTCGAGCTTTTTTGGCATGCTGCTGAAACTGTTGGAGAGCTGCAAGTAGGTCGAACTGGGTGTTGAGGCAGCTCGAGCATGGCATTCCCTGCATGCAGCATGCCAATGGTGCCACCGTGGCAACGGTCACCATTGCCTGTGCACTGCTGCTGCTGCTGCTGCTGCTGCTGCTGCTGCTGCTGCTGCTGCTGTTGCAGGTGGGCTTCCCGGGCATCGTCGCTCGGCAACCTGGCTTTGGCTGATTGGTGGCCGCAGCAGGGCGCCTATCTGCCGCCGTCGCCGCCTGATTGGGTGCTGCAGGTGGGTCCACTATGGGTATTGCTGGTGTGGTGATGCCGCCTCCTTGCATAGCATCTTCTCGCTGTATTGGCAACGTTGCAGTTGTCCTGCTTGCAGGAAGCAATTAGAGACATATTTCAGGCAAGCTCTAGCGCACAGCACCTCGCGTCTGCAAACAATGCAATTTGTTATCCACCCCTTGCTGTGCCCCTCGCCTGCAGCTGCCTGTGCTTCCAGTGTGGCCGGCTGCATCTTCAACTGTAGTGGCCTGGCCGAACAGCACAGCTGGCCAGCACGGCTGCCTGGGCAAGGCTGCACCGCTGGGAGCACTCATCAGCAGGTTTGTGCTGCATGCGCTGGCACTGGGCAGTCCACGAGCAGTGGCGGAGCTGTGGTCTCGGTTTGTTGGCACGCTGCGACAGGCGTATTGGGAGCACCGGCGCCCGCTCCCACGCATGAGCCTGGATTGCCAACAGCAGCAGGATGATTGGCAAAGGAGTGCAGCGACAGCGACGCTCGAGACTGATGCAGCAGATCTGCTCCGAGAGAGCACTGGCAGCTGCAGCACACCAGAGGCCCCTGGCATGTGTTACAGCTTGCTGCATCAGAAGCTGCAGATGCTGGACCTTTGTGTCCACTTGCAGCAAAGGCAGCAGGGGCGGTGGGTGGAGCAAGGAAAAGAGAGGGAGGAGGAGCAGCCTGCAGCATCTGAAGTAGAGGGCTGGGACGGCAGCAGCATTGCTGACCCTGATGGGAAGCAGCTGCTGTGCTCGCACTGTCGCAGCAGCAGCGACAGCAGCAGCTACTTCTCGGCTGCGGCAGGGTCGGATGCGCACACCAGCCCTGACAAATCCCAGAAGGCGCAGCTGCAGGGGCCAGCACTGCTTGCGCATGCTGCAGCTACCAACAGCCCTTCATGCAGGACACAACCAGGAAGCAGCTCGGCCAGTTTGGCAGTCTCTGAGTCCGACCAGCAGCCGCAGTGCAGCGACCGTATAGCTCCCATGGTATTGGAGATGCATGTTGCAGGCGAGGCCAGCCTAGTGATGAATGCAACTGCGGCGGCAGAGAGAGACCATCCCGAGGGGGTGGCAGGCCTGCTGCCAGATGCGACCCTGTACTTTCACCCCGACCGGCCTCTGCGCGTGCCGGTGGTGCATGAGCCACCCCCGCAGACGGAAGACCAGGTCGTACAGGCAAGTAATGGTGTTCTCAGCCATTTATCTTTGTTGCCCGGCGATGAAGATTTGAACGGCATATACATGCACTGCCGGCGGCCTCGCTGTATCTTTGAGAACGCTGCCAGGTTCCCCCCCCTGCAGTCCCTGGCCGCTGTGGAGCAAGAAGCTGCACTGGGGCCGCAGTTGCAGGGGCGCATGCTTCTCTCCGACATGCAAGCATTCAAAGCTGCCAATCCTGGCTGCTGCCTGCTGGGTGCGTGCGCCTGCTGTGATGAAATCCCATGCGACCTTGTAGCGGGCACCAATCAGCATCCCCTGGGAGCCTGACAGGCACGGCTGCTGCTACCCCTCCAGCAGCGTGCCTTTTCGTGGCTTCCCCGCAGACTTTCTGCGCTGGCACTCACCCAAGGACTGCTGCCAGACACTGGACGGCGGGTGGGAGCTATCAGGGCGGATGGCGGCAGAGGTGCAGCAGCTGCATGTGCATTGCGTTTATGAAATTGCAGCCACGTACATGTGTCGTTTCGCGTGCAGATTTTCATTTCTGCCTGTTTGTGCAGGGGAACACCTGGCAGCAGCTGTGGGCAAGAGCGGTGCCAATGCGCGCCGCGGCACAACGTCCACTACATGATGCTGAGCTGGAGGGTGAGCGGGTGCTGCACTTCCTAGAGACCCTCCCCCCCTCCGTCCTCTTTGCGGAGCTGCTGTCAGTAGGCTTTAGCGCCGCGGTGCAGCTGCTAGGGGTGGTAGGCCCCGCCGCAGAGCTGCCTGTGGTGCGGCGGCAGTTGGAGTGCCTGGTGGCAGCAGCGGGCCCTGCAATGGCACGTGGTGTGGCTGCAGTTGGCATTGACTGTAGCGTTGACCTGCAGCGACCATCAGGGCAGGACGGCACTGTTGACAGCAGCTCTGCGTCAGATGTCGACATTGACGGCAGCGACGGCCCTCTCCAACGGCTGCCCTCCTGGGTGCCCATTCTATATGGCAGTGGGCTGAGCAGCAGCAGCTTTCGGCGCCTATTGCTGCTGCTGGGCTGCACTGAGCACGTGGTGGTGGCAGCGCAGTCTCTGCTGCTGCGCCTGGGCCACCCCTTTCCGCAACAGCCTGAGCTGGTGCAGCCACATGGGCAGGAGCATGCTTCCGTTGCCAGCGGATTTGCAGTCATCGCCACACAGGCGCTGATTGCTGCTGCCCTGAACGAGCCGGAGCAGCAACCTGTCAACGCCAGTATACAGCAGCAGCAGCAGTCGCAAGGGGCATCAGGAGGAGCCGTGGCAGTTGCTGCTGCCATCGATCTGTGTGCAACTCATCGCCGGGAGGTAGACGCTCTGCTGACGCATCCGCTGGACTGGCAGGACAGCGAGTCGTCATCGGATGGCGAGAGCGGCAGCAGCTCCAGCACCAGCAATAAGCAGTGGCCGGTGCCCTTCCAGCGCGAGTGGCTGCTGGAGGTGCACGGCAGTGGCAGCCGGCGGGGTGGCCCCGCAGGCGGCGATGACATTGCCACACGCAGCGCTGTGCTGCAGCGCATGTATGTCAAGGCACTGCACTCGGAAGTGCGCATTGCCACCGCCGTTTCGTGTGAGCCCGCGGTGCCTTAGCTGACATGCAGATGACTGCCCAAGGTTCTAGTGTTTTTTCAGCGGTATGGCAAGCAGTTGTGGAAACGGCCCCTCTCCCAGGCTTTTCACTTTGAGTTGGTTTGTATTCATCACGATGTAAACATCAAGCATCTGAGTTCATCACGATGTAAACATCAAGGGCACATCTCAAATATTGGCCTGCGATCGTGCGGCGCTGGAGCCAGCGGCGGCGGCGGCAGTGCGGGGTGGAAGAAAGCGTGCAGTAGACCAGGAGTCAAAGGGACACTTTCGTGCTTTCGATCGACCGCGGCGCTTCGCAACAGAAGTCAAAAACAGCGCCCCCCATCCTCCTGCGAGGCTTGTGCCAGACGACCGCCATGCAGCTGCTGGTGCGCACCCTCTCGGGCAAGACCGCCACGGTCGCAGCCAAGCCCTGTGACACCGTGTACGAGCTGAAGTGCAAGCTGCAGGCAAGTGGTGCGGGCCGTCGCTGCAGCTTGCACCCCCGCCCCGCCCTTCCCCGCATCTCTGGCTGCACATTAAATGTTTTCTCCGGCCACCAATGTTGCAGGATCAGGATGGCCTGCCGGTTCAGCATCAGTGCCTCTTGTACTCTGGCAGGCTGCTAGACGACGCTATGCTGCTGGCGGAGTGCGGGCTGGGCGCCGGCTGCACGGTCCACCAGACCGGCCGCCTGCTTGGTGGGAAGCCCGTCAAGGTCAAGATCATCACCAACCACTTGTCCTGTGGCCAGGAGGTCATCATCGACCTGGACCCAAATGCGGGCAAGGCGGAGATCAAGCGCAAGCTGGAGACTGCCACGGGGGTGCCGGCGTCGCAGCAAAAGGTCATGCTCAGCGGGATCAATCAGATTGTGATGGGCGACCGGAGGTGGGTGCGCTCGTTGGAGCATGGGTGCAGCATGGGAGGCGGGCAGCCAAACAAACTGTACCAGGTACATGCACCAATCCAGCTGGCGCGTGGACCCCGAGCTGCAGGACCAACATCGACTTTGCTGCCTGCGGCTTTGCGAACAGCGTGGAGATTGCTGTCAACGCCAAGCCCACCAAGTAGGATTGCAGAGCTGTTGCCACGCAGACCAGATACGGCATAAGGCTGCATATCAGGATGGGCAGCCTTGTTCAGCCCATCGCCGCCAAGCAACAGACAAATGAATTGTTTTAATCATCGCGCATACATCAACGAGTGGCATCGAATCAAATCAGATCACTGACTTTGGTCGCGAGAGTGATGGACTGCACGCTGCCGCGCACGACATGCCTCCTCACGCGCTGCCTGCTCCGCTTCTTCCGCCCCAGGCAGCGATGCATCTCGATACTTGCTGGCATTGGTTTTTCTTGATTGCCCGCAGGCTTTATACATCTGCTCGCGCCAAGCTGCACCTGGCTCATCTCCGCACTGCTCAGCCAGCCAGGCATTGTACTGCCACTGCATGCCGTCGCTCTGGCGGTGAGTGTACCGCACGGGGACGCCAGTTGCCTTCAGGGATGCATAAAAGTCGGCAACGTGCTGCTCCATCTCCTGCACACGGCAACCCAAGGTCGTGGCACATACAAAAGCCTTTTGCAGGCAAAACGTTGGAAGGCGGATAGCAACAACTGGCAGCCGCTGCACCATGCTTACCTGCCGTGAAGGAAGCTGCACTGCCCCGGCCAGAACCTTGGCAATCCACCGGCTTTGCAGCTGAAACTGTGGGAAAGGGATCACCTGCAGTGAACAAGCCAGGCAGGCAGGCCAGGGCGAGGTTTCAGAGTGGCAGGAAACACAAAGGCCCTGAAAAAAGTGAGCACCGACGACGGCACCTTCCAGGGAATGCCGACAAACGCCAGAGTCGGTGCCGCAGCCGGAGGGAAAATATGCTGGTAGAGGGGCCCGACGCGGTTGTCTTCCACCGTCACAAAGTCCGTGCCAGCCAGGAAGGGGAAGTCATAAATGTAACCTGCAGAGCAATGCTCGCTACGTCGATCCAACAGCTCAACCGTGTACGCACACTCAGCTGTGCCACACGCCTGTGCAGAATACGCAGGCATCTACGTCTGCAATGCGGCTGCCGTCTGCCAGGGTGATGGAGCCGTCGGCATGGAACTCCTGCAGGTTTGGAGCCTTGATGATTTGATCGCTGTCATGGCTGCCGCCGCCGCCGCTGCCGGCATGAATGCTGAGCACCTCGCCTGTCAGCGGGTTCTCCCAAACGCGGGCACACAGGTACACCCTGCAGTGTGGGGCATGACAGGACCATGGGGGCACACCGATTTCAGGTGACACATGTCGGCGCTCCAGCAGAACATGGTTGCTCTCTGGCAAAGGAGTTGCGAAGTGCAGAGCCAAGTAGGGCCTCACTTCTTGGCTCCGCCATTGGCAATCTCCTCTGCTAGGTCCACGCCGCTCGATGATGCGCCAAGCACCACTACCGTCTTGCCCCTACAAACCGCATGCCACACTGGGTTGGAGGCACCCAGCCAAGTTGGAATCGATCAGGGCACCTCCACAAACAACCCACTTGAAGGGGTCTGGGCGCCGGTATGAGTGGCTATGCATGAGCAGGCCGGGAAATGCGGCCTGCCCCGGCAGCTGTGGTACCCTTGGCCGACTGTAGTGGCCATTGGCAACGACCACGGCATCATAAAGCTCGCTGCTGGCGGCGGCTTCATTGTCCTGTAGCTGCGCCGCTGGCCGCGTGACAACCTCCCACCGCAGCCAGGTGGATGGGACAGTTCCTTCTGCCCGGTGCCCTTGTACCGGCACACAACGCTGCACCTCCATGCCAAACCGCACAAACTGCAGCAGCTCAAACTCGTCCGCAAAGGCTTCCAGGTAACGCTGGACCTGCGGGCAAGGGGGCACAAAGCATGGCAGGAGACACTTCCTCAGGAGCCACACTCTAACCACATTGGGGCCCCCAAACCCTTGCGCACCTCGTCGTGAGCAGGGAACTGACGTGCATCGCGGCTGCCCTCGAACTTCGAGTCAAACGCGAAGTCTGGGAGCCCCATCACCTCCCTAGGCAGATTGGTTCTCAAGTAAGCATACACCGAGCCACGAACGGATGCCCGCTGGCCCAGCAGGTCATCCTCGTCAAACGTCTCACGGTAATCCCATATGCCGCCAACCTTGCTCGAGCGCTCGAACACGGTGACCCGGTGGCCTGCCAGCAGCAGCTCCCGAGCCGAAATAATGCCGGCAGGCCCAGCGCCAATCACCGCCTGCAACAGGTATGGTCAACAAAATGCCAGATGGCTGTCAGGACTGGTGGGTGCTACACACATTGATCTGCAGCGCATTGCTCACAGCGCACCACGGACAACGACTGTTTGGCATTGCTCATCGACGACGCCATAACGGCGGCAGCACGTGTCGACGGCGGCGGCAGCGTACGAGCGGCGCTGAAGGGCCTGCGATGGAACACTGGGGACGCCACACAGACCATCCAACGGCTCCACATGCAGGGCAGCGAGAGTAGCCTGCACACGCACGTGCAGTGCGCTGCACCTTTCGGCGGGGGTTGTGTTGCGCGTGCACGCTGGATTTTTGCCGATGAATGGAATGCCCGTGTGGGGTGGCTGTCACAAAGCATTACACCTGACAGGCTGGCGACAGCATGATTCTTGCTGCCAACGCGCCATAAACGCAACTTCAGAATAGCGGTGAAATCTCTGCACAAAGGAGCGTGTCGCCTCTCACGCTAACCACGCCGTGTCCGATCACACGACGGTGATCACCTGGCTGCAGCGTTGGTCCGGGCTGCAAGCATCTGCCGTAGAAGGGCCATCAAGCTGAGCGGTGGAAGCAGTGGTTGCAGTAACTGCACCCCGCTGATCGTGTAGACTCGCCGACAGGAGGCCGCTTGGCACAGCCAGCTGACCAGCGTTGGCATCTAGTAGCGATGGCGGACCGGTACCAGGCGTGGATCGAGGGCGCGGCGGCGGAGCGGCCGCAGCTGGCGGCGGCGCTGGCGGAGCTGGGCGAGCTGTATCACCGCAAGCTGTGGCACCAGCTCACGGTGCAGCTGGAGCAGTACATCGAGCAGCCCGAGTTCCAGGAAGGCGGCTTCCTGGTGGCGCTCTACCAGAACTTTGTCGCCGGCTTTGCACACAAGGTCAACCTGCTCAAGCTCGCCTTCTTCGCAGTGGCGGTGGGCAAGCAGATGGCCAGCCCAGAGGTGCGCCTGGTGGCTGCTTCAATGCGCGATACTTGCCCGACAGAGCGGCATATCAACTGCAGCAGCAGTGGGCAAAGTGGAGCCAGTCCAAGCGGTTGAGTGCCATCGCATTGTCGCCCCCACTTCCGCAGGAGGGCTCCGCCTTCATCCAAGACGTGATTGCCAACCTGGAAGCCAGCAAGCAACCAGACACGCAGCAGCCCATCCTGTATCTGCGCATGCAGCTGGCGCAGTATGCGCTGGTGCAGGGGCGCCTGCAGGTGGGTCAGCAGCGGGTCCAGACGGTGGCTGGGGCTCGTAGTGGGTTCCCAGCTTTTGACCACCATCCGCCACATTTCCTACGTTCTGCAGGACTGCAAGCGCGCGTTTGAAGCGGGCAGGGAGGAGCTGGACGGGCTCACAGACGTCAGTCATGTCTGCCAGCGTGATGCGCATGCTCAGCTATGCTCTGCTACTTGGGCTAATGCCGGGCCTGCACCGTTGATTTTGCAGGTAGATCCGCAAGTCAGCGCCAGTGTGTACTATGCTGCCTCGCTGTACCACAAGCAGCAGAAGGAGTATGCACAGTACTACAGGTGGGTTCATTGGGAAGGATGGCAACCGAGACAGCATGCCAATGTCCAGGCTAGCAAGCGCCTGCTACCCTTCCCACCCCCGTTGGAATCCTGCAGAGCCACGCTGATGTACCTGGCGTATGTGTCTCAGGACAGCCTGCCGCAGGATTTCCGCCAGGTAAGGTGCCCAGCAGGAGTTCCTCCGATGGACAGCTGCCCCAATTCTGCAGTGATCCTTTGGTTTACTTGTCTTACCCCTTCCCCCCTTCCTCCATCAGGCGCTGGCTGTGGACATTTCGCTGGCAGCGCTGCTGGGCGAGGATGTGTACAACTTTGGGGAGCTGCTGCTGCACCCCATCGTGAGCCAGGCTCGGGAGTTCTTGCCATGCTATTCGCTTGGTGATGGTTTCTTGTGTTGAGCTGTCCTCACCGTGCCTGCAGATCAATGCGCTGAAGGAGGGCGGCTTTGGCTGGCTTCTCGAGATGCTGGAGTGCTTCAATTCAGGTACAGGCATCCTGGATGGTGCGGCTGCGACACAGCTCCATGTGCTCTTCTTTTTCCAAATGCCGCGGCCGCTGCTCACCCCAATTACCACCCCCGCGTGATCCCCAGGCAACATCCACCGGTATGACGAGCTTTGCACACGGCACGCAGTGGTGCTCAATGGGCAGCCCGCCCTGGTGGCGCATGAGCGGCGGCTGCGTGAGAAAATTACCATTCTCTGCCTCATGGAGCTCATCAGCAGTCTGCCGCCTGACCGGCGCACCATCGCGCTGAGCACTGTGGCCGACTGCACAAAGCTGCCGCTGGATGGGGTCGAGTTCCTGCTCATGAAGGTGACGCAATATAGAGGATAGCAATGTTGCATAGTGGCCATTCGCATGTGATGCAGGAAGGCTTACCCTTCCTTGTTTGCGTTTTCGACGCACTTGCAGACGCTGGCGCTGCACCTGATCGAGGGCGTGATTGACCAGGTGGATGGAAGCGTGCAGGTGTCCTGGGTGCAGCCACGCATCCTCACGCTGCCACAGGTGTGCACCCACCTAGCAGCACACAACATTATAACTGTCTTCAGAAGCACCCGGCATGCCCAGGCTCGTCTGCCACAGTCATTTGCTTTGTCATACCCGCCGTGCCTGCCCCTGCGCAGATCGAAGGCTTGCGTGCGCGGTTGGACGGCTGGGTGGACAAGGTCAGCGGTGCAGCGCTGACGTTGGAGAATGAGGCCGTGGGCATCGCACAGACTAGCTAGCTCGGTGGTTGCAGCGTGGCCAGCTTTAGGGACTGCAGGAGATGCTTTCATAGCTGCCTCCTCACCCTCAGTTCTATCTGCGCGTGCTGGACAGTAGAATTCCTTCTGTGCGTAACAGGATCTGTCACCATTCAGAGATCAGGAACAGGGATCGAAGAAGAGGAACAGCAAAAGAGGGACAAAAAAAGCAGCAGAAGAGGATTCACATGGTGCCACGGCTGGCGGCCTTCCTGCCTTTGCGGTGGAGCGCCCCGCCGCAGCCATCTCGCCTTAGCACGTCCCGGACAGTGATTGCCATTTGTTTTGCCTCTCGAACATCGGCTACACGAGTTCCATGTGTTGGCGAGGCATGGGCGGCTGCGTCAACCTGGAGCGCCATACAGTGCATCTTCCGAGTCGCGCACAGGGAGTTTGATGCAAAGGCTGACATGATCATCATATCCTCCATCGCTAAAGGGGTCCCGATACACAAACATCATGTGCACATGCGTGCCACGCTCAGCAATGCCGCACAGCAGCTGCGCCGGCTGCACTGGCAGGGCACGATTGCAAGATGGACATGAGGAGGCACAAAACAGCACCCAGCCATGTACTTCGCTCGAGGGAGCATCGACAGCTGTACAGACCACTCACCTGCGTCAGCTGACTGCTGTGCAACGCCTTGGCCAGGTGCCTCTGCAACAGCACCACCTGCGCTGACTCCCCCACCGCCTGCACCTCCTGCAGCCGCTGCTCAGGCGTCTCTCCCCTGCAGAGCTGGGGATGGTCAGTGGGATGGTAAATGACTTCTGAGGGGCAGGCAGCTACACAGTACTGCCAGCCTTCATGGCGGCACACTCACTGTATCGGCTCCAGCCCCTCACGGGCAGTCGCAGGAAGCACAGACAGGCCGCGGATCTCGGTGCCAAACTCCACGCCTGCACAAAGTGGACATCAGCAATGTCGCCCACCAACGTGCCAAGACTGTGTTGACCGGGTGACCCTGGGGGTCAACGTTGCACCCCACCCACCTGCGGTGTGAACCTGCAGGTGCAGATCGCCATGCCTGGTGGTGACCATCAGCAGCTCGCTGGACATGCCCTTCATCTTGTCCGCCAATGCCTGCAAAAGGCAAAAGGAAACGCATGGCACAGCAATGAGGGCATACCAAACACATACATGTCATCGCTGTTAGTTTACACTCCTGAAAGAGCGGGCAGGCAGCGACGTGTGCTTGCCCCAATGCTACCGCCCTAACCCTGCCTGCCTGTATGCGCAGCACCTCGTCCTGCAGATCAATGTAGAAGGGGCTGAGGCTGGCGATGTCGCGTTGGCGCACCAATTCTTCCACGTCTCGCTGGCTGTACGGCTGGCTGCACCAAGTCGAGCAAGATATCAACAGAAAGAAGGGCCACATTGGGTGGCAGACCACATGCCACCCGCTGCCACCCACCTGATGGGCAGCTCCTGTACCATGGTGACGTTGTGACCGCGCCAGGAAAAGGCCAGCGTGGGCCGCTGCTGTGTGGGACCTCCAGCTGCAACAGGAGAGAGGACGCCAGTTGGCAGGGAGAGGCTGAACGGACACCAAGAGGCAAGCAACCGCTGCTGCGTGTGGCGCACTAAGTCGCCCCGCTCACCGCCTGTGCAGGGGACGCTTCGCATGGCCAGCTTCATCTCCAATGCATCCGCATCATGCCCCACCGCCGCACGCAGCACCTTGAGCAGCAGCGCGATGTCCACACTGAAGGCAATCTGGTTGTTGTAGCGGCTTTGGCACTTGAACCCCTCCTCCTCGAACAGCACCACCTGCAACGAAGGACGGACGAACGAAATGGATGGGTCGCTGTTCCAGGCCACTTGTGAATAGTCTGGCGCCATCAGGCATCCAGGACACAGGCATGCCAGTGTCACCACCCACGTTGGCGAGCCGGGCCGTGACCTGCAGGCCGTCCGTGTCTGCCACCGCCTGGATGAGGTGCACGTCCTCGGGGCTCAGCAGCAGCTGGCAGCGCTTCCCCAACTTCTCCAGGGTGGGCAGGAAGCCCTTCTCCAGCACCCGCAGGCCCCGGTCCGACAGGACAGCCTTGAACTTCATCTCAGAACTTCATTTCAGAACCTTGCCGCCGCCGCCGCCGCCGTCAGCCGCCGCTCCCCGCCGCGAATGGGCAGCCCGGCGCCTGCTGCTGCTGGCGTTCTGATGCCAGATGCGCCCGTTCTTGCCGCAGGTGCCCAGTACACCGCTGGAAACAAGCCCCTGGTTTCAGATGGCGAGGGGAGCACTACAGCAACTAACGGAATGGGCAATCGTCGATCACCGATGGTTGTGACTCAATCCTGTAATCGTGCTGTCGTGCGCGAGGGCCCGCCGGCACACTGCATAGGATGCCTGCCCCAGGAAGCGCCTTCAACAACAGGGGTTTCGGATCTCGGCAGCAATCAGGGTGAACTCAGACTCGCGGAAGCGGTGCAAAGCAGAAGCACAATTGCCTATGGACCTCGTGCTCTGCATGAAGTGGGCTCGTCCTGTAACCAGCCTCTTGCCCTCAAACACCGGTTGAAGAAGTTGAAGAAGCGTTGCCGACTTGAGAAGCAGCACGGCAATGAAACCAGCGATCTGCGTCATTGTTGCTGCGCAGCTGTGCTCGCACTTGCATGGTGCTCATCGCCTGGTGGTCCCGCAGCTTCCGCCTCTGTCTCGTTCATCATTTCCATCTCCTCCTCCAACAGGGGCTTGTAATACTCCTCGTGTCGCAGCATGCACTCTCGTAGCTCCAGCGTCTGTGCAAACAGCGCAGCAAAATGCCAACTTGCAGCAGCCGCTAAGTGTTGATGAGCTAGCATGGCAAACCAACCCCAGCGCCCCCACCTTCTCTCTGCACTCCTCAGTGAAGTCGCTGCCCACCTCGCGCTCCCGATCCACGCACTTGCTCCAGGCCTGCAAGCCGCCACGAGCAGCCGTAGGGTAATGGCACTGGGCAGCAGCAACAACTGCATGCAGTCGATGAAGAGTGCGGCAGCCCGCTTACGACGAACGCGGAGCGGCAGCCGCCGCCCTTCATGAATTTGCAGAAGCCGCACGTCTCCTTGGAGTCGTCCTCGTCCTCCTCTTCCTCCTTCTGTGCGCCTGCTGCAGCAGTGCGGGCGGGCTGCTCTGCTGGCTGGTGCTGTGCTCCTCTTTGTGCAGCTGGGTGCTGCTCCTCCTCGGCGGCGGCCCCCACGTCGCGGCCCGCAGGGCGCCCGCTGCTGCCGGCCGCCGGCCCACCGACGCCCCCTACTGGCTGAGACATTTGCTGCAGACGCGACTTGTAGCGCCTGCTGTTGTGCCAGCCTACAGCACGTGAGGAAGGTGAGGTGGCAGGGCTAGGGGAGGCAGCAGGCCAGGCGGCGGCGGCGGCGGGCAGCAGGCCAGGTGGCAAGCCACACCTGCAGCGCTCCAGGAGGGAGCTCCGGCTGATGTTGCAGGCCCGGCTGTTGGCGTAGTGATTCAGTTCCTCCTGGGGGGGCCAGCCAGCCGAACTCTGGTTGGCGCCGCAGCCCGGGGGAGTCTCGATCAGCAAGCGTAGCCTCTAAGGCGTCTGAGTCGCTCCGAAGCAGCGGGAAAGGCGCTGGGGCTGCCTGATGCGATGGAGCGGTGAGCGAGGCGGCCCGCTTCAAACTGGCCCAGGGTGTGTGTTCTATGGAAAAAGCATGGACAAAGCGCCTAAGCTTCAATCAAGACGGCCCTCTGCTGTGCATGACGTGCTGAGCTACACAATGCAGGCATGCATGCGTCTCTCAACAATTCCATGGCGGGGCATGCCTGATGTGATGGATTACAAGTTGTTGCAGGTTGATTAAATCAGTTGGGGGAGACGTCTGATGGGACAAAAGACTGCCGATGGTGATGCAACCACTTGTTGAGCGTCAATTCGATATTGTCACCCGCCATGCAGCGCCACATCAGAGTGACCGCCGCTGATCCGTTGCCACCCATTGGTGGCACCAAGCGAGGGCGAGTAACCCTAGGACATCAAACCCTGACCATCTGTATATCTGTCGGAGAGAGGATTCAAATGAAAGACAGGGGCTGCTCAAGGCGGTTGGCGCCTATGTGGCGCTGCCCGCTGCCTCCAACGAGGCCAGGCCTTGTTGGCGCTCTCCCTGCACTGGAATCTGGAGATTGATGCCTCACTGTTGTCTGGAGAGGCATGCAACGTGTTTCGAATGTGTTGTGGCATCGTGGCGAGGTGGCCCGAGTGGAGGGGGGAGCATGCAAACAACTGGAATCAAAGCCATGATCCTACCATGGGCTGGCAGCGGCTGCCGCTTTGGATGCTCTGACGTGGCACCGCCTGCATTCCTTATGATGTCATCTCGAGGTCGGATGGCTATGCCTGTGGCCGATGGAATCAGAAAAGGTCCGCCGCTACTTCTTCTTGCCGCGCCCCGCCTTCGCACCAGGCTCGGCATCCTGCGAACAGCAGCAAACCTAGATAATTGTAATCAGAGGAACCAACTGACACATGCTAGATTCACAAAGTGAAACAATGAACTGTTGCACGGCGCCAACCATGGGCACCTGAAGGCGTGGGGGAACCGCCGCACCACGCAGCTCCGACAGCACTCCAGGTAGAGGGTCCCCGCCGCCCGTGCCGCGCGACAGCTCGCACCACACAGCGTCCAGCATGGGGCTTCCGTACACCTTGGCCTCGTTGCGGAAGGACCAGAGTGTGCCAGTGCGCCACATGGCGTCGGGCCGCTTGTCCAGCTGGTCAATCAGGTCACCGCGGTCCTGCAACGTGGGCATGGGCACGGGCTGTTGCACAGGTCGCGGCGCATCGCCCACATGAGTAGTGGCCAGGTGGGGCAAACACACACACACACAAAGTGCTGCTCGCCTTGGCTGTGTACCGCGTCTTGCCACCCGCAAAGCTGCTATCAACATCGGGCAGGCTGATGGTGCCACGGCGCTCAGCAGACAGCGAAGCGGTGGGGTCGTTGACGGTTTGCTTGAACCAGCCTGCACCAGGGTGTCAGCACGCCACAGCAGAGTAAACAGGCGAGCTAGAAGTGTCAAATCATCGTCATCATCCAAGCCCAGCAAAGCAGAAATTGGTTGTAACAATGGCATCAATCAGTCTAATAGCGAAACACCCACCGGACAGCTGGCCCCACAAGTACAACGGGCGGTACACTTTGCGCAGGTTGCTGCTGCCTACATCTAGCAGAAAGCGGCGCCAGCAGCATGAACGGGTGATTGGAAAGGGTAATTGGTGTCCTGGTATATCTGAGCTGCAAAGCGAGTAGGCTAAGCGGCTGTACTTGCTGGCTTCCACTGCCTGCACATGCAGCTCCGTTAACAGCACGCCACCACAGCTTACTCATTAACACCTGCCCCTCAGACTCGCTCCCGGCCCCCGCTGCCAGCAGGTCCTGAGTGCTGCTCGGCTTGCTATTGCTGGCCAACATTTGCTCTGCCACCATTCCGCCAGCACCCAACAACTTATCGCTGTCAACCACCGCCGCCGCAGCCGCAGCCACTGCCGCCGCTGCTGCAGCCGGGGTCTGCTCCTGGGTGCGGTCCAGCGCCAGGTCTGCCAGGTTAAGTGGCACGGGTGGTGAGGTCACACCCTTGTAGCCGCGTTCTGCAGGGTGTGCCATGCCGGTCATCAGCAAGCTCGCAATGGGGCATAGCCATGCAGGCACACTGATACAGAGCGAGAAGGGCCATCAGGTAACAAAAGCGATGGTGCAGGATGAGAATGCATTGAAGGTAAGTCCTCACCGCACGTGAACCAATGCAGCGTGGATGCGTAGAGCAGCAACAGATCGGCCACGGCTGCAGGAAATAACAGCAGGAGCCACGTTTATGACGCTGCTTCACTGAAATGACAAAACTTGCCCATGTGTGGCTGGCTATAAAGGGCTTCTAAGTACAGAGGCTTCCCACCACAGCACCTGTCAGGCCGCCATTGTTCTCTACGTCTAGTGCGCGCAGCTGCTCATACAGCTGCATTAGCTTGCAGCGCGCGTCCTGCAACCACCGAGCAATGAACGGTGTGGGTGTACGCTCATGTGCACTGCTTATGCAAGTCGCCGTCTGACTCCGACCCCGGGTGCCGCTGCTCACCGCAAAGTCTAAGGCTGGCTGCATCACCAGGCTGCACATCTTAGACAAGGCACCAGGAAGCTCGGCAGAGTGTCGCTGGACTGCGTGCACAACCGATGAAACAGGATGAAATAACAAACAGTGGGGAGATCAAAACGCAGGGCAGACCACACTCATTCCTGGATTGCACGCACCGGCACTCTGCAGCTCCTCATCCGTCTGCAGTGAGGCAAAATTGCGGCTCATGGCAGCGGGGGCTAGTGCCTGTGCACAACCGCTAAGTATCCGACGAGCCACCGCCTTGGGGCCTGCACTGACATAAGGCGGCCAGGATGTCAGTGCCCCACAGGAACGGACTCTCTTCCGATTCTGGTCAGCGAAGCACAGCATCCAGCTGTGTTGCCATCCTTGAGGACACTTCTGACCTGACCAAAGGTGGTCCACGGCCTCTGCATCCGTTAATGTCTTCAAGCAAGGAGCCTGAGGCTACAGCAGGCGTGGGTGACGCGAAACAGAATCGTGAGATTTCCAATGACTCGATGCTCTTGGGGCAAAGCAGATGCAGTCCCCATGAATGGCGCACCTGGTTGGGGGCCTGTAGCACCATTTTGACCTTATCCAACGTAATTACGACATTTTGCAGCCGATTAATCACCACACCCTTGGCTTCTGCAACAAAGGGGCAAGCAAGTACAGGCAGGACCTAATACAACACACTCATCATGGGGCAGGCCTGGTGCGCCTTGAAGCAGGCACGTACACAGGCTATGCTCGCAGGAAGAACCCTCTCAATGCAATTGAAGCGCACCTGCGGTTGCACTGGCCTCATTATAGATGCCCAATGGGTGACCCAGCAGGTCTTCCTTCAGGTGCGCCTCCTCCTCCTCAATGTACTCACAGATCTGCAGGGGAAAGGCAGGAGGCGCATTGGCATGCGGTGCCAAACAGCACTGAAGGTTGAAGGTGCAGCCAACGCTGCTCCCAGGTGCATGAGGTTGTAATGTACAAGAGTCGATCCTGCTAAGCAGTACTCACCAACGAGGTCCACTTGATGAGCCAGTCAGGAGCACGATCTCCGTGCTCAGCGCTGCCAAGCGCGCTATCGCCCAGCCCATGACGCTGCAGGCACATACAGAAGAGGTGGGTCCACATTCTTCTTGGGTTGGTAGCGAGTGGCTTCTGACAAGAATACAGTAGGCAGGGCAGGTGGGCATCAAATAGGAAGGGCTGCTTGCCTTGATGCGGGCCCAGTCGTCTTCTGTAAGAGGCTCGCATCCTGCCCGTGCAATCATAACCTGCCTGCACCAACAAAAGCTGCGTGGCAGCCGTGGAGGACCAGCCAGGACATGCTAGGCTTAAATGGCAATGAGATCATGCAAACTGCTTGCCTATGCAGGAACGTGTGCTTGGTGTTCATGACCTGTTGGAAGGCGCGGCTGCCAGTGAAGTAGAGGTAGGACCCCCTGCAATGCAGGGCATGCAAAAACACATCAGCAAATGGACCTTCCAACAGATCTACAATGCATAGCGCCTCAAATTGCTCTGAGCAGGCCCAGGAGCACTCTTGTCTTGCCTGCAGTTGCGGGTGGAGCAGAGGCAAATGGCATCGCGGAACTCCTTCTCGCTCTCAGTCACACTGCTATAGTCAAACGTCAGCTCCTCGCCTGCTTGGCGGGCAGAGGCAAGCAGGAACTTGGGGGAAGTGGGCTCTTGCCTCAACCGAGGCAGAACAGGCAGGAACCAGTGTCAGCCAGCGATGCTCGGTTGGCATAGCCTGCTTGCCTTCATACACGTGACGCAGCGTGTAGAGCGCAATGGTGAGGCGGCCTCCGCAGGCCATCACGATGGCCTGGCAGTTGGGGGTGCAGCTGTGACTCATGCGGCTTGCCAGCGCGCCCTGCGGCAAGCGGGACAGCAACGCGCGGCAGTGATGGGTCCATTTCTGCCAGTGCGCTTGACTGTGGAGAATTGCAACACCACTCATGAATCACCCTGCCTCTTCATTTCTTGGCATGGAGCGAGTAATTGCCCCCCACCCCCACCCACCACAACTACCACTATCCACCCCTCCACACACAAATCTCACCTTTGCCGCTGCATCGATGAAGAGCACGTCATATCCATCAGGGTCATCCTTTGGCCGCTCCAGCACTATGTTGTAGAAGTCAGGCAGCTCGTCTCCAGTGATCTTCTTCACAGCATCCTGTAGTTGGGAGCGCAAGGCAGTTTGGTAAAGCAAGACGTGACAAACAGCTGCGTGCCAGGATGGGCATGGCAGGCACATCGCCAGCGGATACATGCATGCTTTGTGCAAACGCCCAGGATGAGCCAGTCCCACGTGCCTGGATCTCAAACCAGCGCCAGGGAGTGTGAATTTCGCCCAGGTATTCCTCCACGAAGGTTAGGGGCGGGATGCCGCCCTGTTGCTTGCAGATCAGCCCCACCCCTTTCGGGTGCAACCGGAAGTAGTTGTAGCCGACCTGCATGCGACAAGTAAGTGGTTGCACGGGCATAAACGCTCTGAGGCAGGCCTCTAAGCAATCACATCCCTGCCAGGCAAAACAGCTGGCTGATGCTGTCTGCCAAACTCACATCCTTAATGCGCTGCTCCACTGCCTCTGCTGCAAGCAGGCTCTCCTCCTCCATAGCCTTCTGCGCCAGCTGCTTCACTTCTTGGACCGCTCTCAACAAATCCCATCCATTCTCCCCCTGCACAGCACAGTCACAATGCACGGTTGAAGCAGGTTCTGAAACCGGCAACACAACGATGGAGCTAGTGTACAATGACAACGTGCTGATTGCATCTGTGAGTCTGTCGCACTGAACAAACCACCTGCCACGCAGGCTCGGTGCTTGCCTGCCGGTTCACTGCCGGCAGCAGTACCCGCTCCAGCCAGTCTGCCACCCGCTTCTCCACAGCAATTTGAGCGGGGGTGGGGGGGGGGCTTGCCAGCGCCGCTGCGATTGCTGCTGCCTTCTCGTCGTCCACAATCTCACTGCCGCTCTCCTTCCGCTCAGCAGCGGGTGTCGAAGGCAGCACCTTGTCTTCATCCGATTCCTCTCCTTCCTTGTGCTCATGCTCATCTGCCTTCTCGTCCTCATCTTGCTTCTTGGCCCTGGGTGGTGGCGGCAGCGCAGCAGCCACAGGAGAGGTGGCAGCGCCGCCGCTGCCACTGGCCGCTGCACGCATCGCGGCGTACTCCACAGGGTTTGCCGCCAGCAGTGCTTTGTAATCGGGCGGTATCCACGACCCAAAAGCTCCGCTCTCCAGCACAGCTGCAAACCCGGCAGGCAAGGGAACCAACCGAACAATCAGCACTCAAGGCCAGCATCAGGCACACGCACAAATGACTGGGGAGGGGTTGACATTGGGGAAAACAATGTATCCCAGCACCATAAACTGCGGCTGACAGAGGCCGTCGACCCACGTCCGCAACACACCATCCATGATGTTTCTGCGCACGTAGCAGTCCATGCCCCAGCTGTCTACCTCCTCGGCGTCCTCTCCCAGCCTCAGCGTGTGCCTATTTGTCACAGCGCGGTTCAGGCAATTGTCTGCAAGATGAAGGGTGGCGGCAGCGAATGCCACATCAGGCACGCAGGATATAAGAGGCAGGATAATGGCAGCAGTAAGACGCAATCCCGACCATCACTTTAGGGTCGGACAGACATCCGCCATGCAGTTGGGGGGTCCCCTTTGCTCACCACTCCCATGGCAGGCGCATCGCTCATCGCACTCAGTGTTGTGAGCCAGGCAGGAGCAGAGGCTATTGAATCCCTCCTGCTCCACGCTGCTTGCAGGAAGTGCGGAGGTTGCATTGGCATCCAGCATGTTGCGCAGGCAGCAGATGTTAAAGCACAAGCGACTTCAAAGGACACCGCCGCAGCAAGCTCACTTGTACAGGCCGAGGTCCTGGCGTGATTTGCAGTGTTGGCCAGAGCAGCCGCCATGCTTCTGCAGGTGTAGCATGCAAGGGTGGGAGCCCCGGCGGCATGGCATAAATCAGCTGCAATGGCATAAATTCGAAGCAAACACAATCCACCCACCTTTGTGGACAGCTTGCGCAGGATAACCTCCCGCATGCTGGGCTCCACAATGTCGTACTCGGTCAGCCGCACATATGGCCTGCGGCAGGCACCCTTTTCACCATTGCATCAGAGCAATGCAAGGCGGTACATGAGCTGCCTTGGATGGTTAGCACATGCAAAAAGACGCGCGCTGGAAGGCAGCAGCTGCATACCGTGGGATGTAGGGTGTCTTGCGCCAGTCACCGCCCTTGAACGGCTCCTTGTTGGCCAGGATACTGCATTCGGCAGGCAACGGCGACATGTTGACAGCTTCCATTATAAAATGTAGATACAATGCCTCAGGCTCGCACAGGCGCACCAGGGTGGCAGGCTGGCTGGGTAGAAGCTGTCGTCCAGGTCCTCCTCCTCATCATCATCATCATCCAATCCCGATGCCTCCAGTGCAGCCTTGCGATCTGCACGCATCTGCAACCCGTGCAAAATATCAAAGCCAATCATGGTTGGCACAGGTCCCACTGTCCCTCCCAGTGTGGTCATCTGCCCTGCCGCTGGCAGAAGTAGCAGGCAGGAAAGCACCACAGAGGACTACCTGAGTCAGCAGTGTTTCGATGGCAGTGCCCAGCATGTGAACGAACGACTCGGCATTTGCAATCAGCCGGCCCCGCCTCACATCCACGCTCTGCAAGGGCCGTGCAATGAACACAGAAAATCCGACGTCTGCTCAAGGTTACAGGTTCACTTGGCAGTGTGCCATGCAACCGGCGCCCACCCACGGGCATGTCATGTGCCCACAGTGACAGCAGCCACCTTGCCTGCAGCGTGAGGTAGGCCTCAACAGAGGCGTGGCACTCTTCCCGAGCGTCGCTCACTAGCTCCTCAAAATCGGTGAACCCGCCCATCTGCGGGGCCGAGGCGCGTGCATTTGCAATAGGACAACAGCAAACGAGTCACGTCATTATACTGATTAGAAGGCATGTCATCTCGCCTACTGATTAGAAGGCATGTCGTCTCGCCTGCAGGGTGTTGATGGAGTTGGACAGCGTGGCGCCCATGGCCTGCAACTGGTCGCCAGCCTGCGAGCTGCACAGGTGTTCAGCCAGGTTGGCCAGCTCCTGCAGGGAACATTGTGTGCACTGCAGGGTTGGAACCCCACGAGGTCTCAACGCTTCACAATGCAGCAACCATGAGTAAACCTCTCACCGCTGGCAGAGCCGCAACGTCGTCCGGCTGAGCAGCCACCCCTCTGCAGCATAGGTGACGTCGGCCCCATCATTGACAGGCTGTGCCATTGAGCCAGCAACGCAAGAGGCTGCAAAAGCAAAGGAGAAGTAAGCTGTCACGCACCCCAGCGCCAAGAACAGCACAGTGGCCAGCTGCTGTTGCAGCTCGGGTGTCCAAGGATTGTACTGCTTGCCAGTTTTGCGCTTGACTGCAGCATCGAAGGGAAAAGATGGTCAGCTTTCAGTTGAACAGCAGCATTTGATAGCATCAACAGCGCCGAAATCCAAATGCCACCCCACCTTGCCCCGCCTGGCCGCCCCCATAGACCTTGCGCTTCTTGCCCAGCGGCCAGCCTCCGCGGCGGCCCGCCTGCTGTTGGCCCATGCCATGCTGTCTGCGCTCCAGCAGGATGCTGCTGTCGATGTTGATCGTGAGGCAGTCCTTGACCTGGTCGATGGTCAGGAAGAAAGTCTCTGGCGGCAGCTTGGGCGCAGCCGGAGCCAGCTCGGGGGGCGGCGGGGGCGGCGGCGGCTCCAGGGCCACTCCTGCTGCTGCCAAGGCGGCACTGGAGCTGTCAAACTCCTCGAGCAGCCTGTTGGCATCATCCAGCAGGTCGCTGGTGGCCTGCGCCTGCTCCTTGCTGCCTGCCACCCAGCAGGCGCTGATGACGCTGTCGCACACCGCACGCAGTCGCTGCAGCGCCTCTGCGGCGGTCAGCTGGCCAGACTGTGCTGCATCAATGATGTCACTGCGCGCAGGAGAGATGCTTGACAGGGAGGGTTAGTACAGCACAGGCAAATGAAAGGGAGGGCACGGGGCAGTGAAAACATGCCTGAGGGTGCCGTCGCCGCTGCGGTGATCGGCGCCGCCTGGCGCCGTGGCCTGTCCATTCAGCAGCGATCCGGTGTCTCTGCTTTTGATTTCAGCCAGCGCTGAAATCAAAAGCGAAGGGTGGTGCCCGTTGAGGGTGGCGCCCGTTGGCTGCTCCCCCGGCTCTGGCGTCGCTTCCCGCACTCCATTCGGCTGGAGCTCCTGCAGCTGCAGATACACGCTGGAGGAGGCTCGCGGCAACCTCGCCCGCATTCTGCGCTGCGGCCAATGCACTCCCGGCCGCCAAAGCGAGCCTGTCTAGAATGACAACCGATGGCGTAGAACATGGAGGCAGCTCCAGCTGTACCGGGTGGCAGTACATTCGCAGCCTGTCAGCGCCTGTCCCTCCTCCAATCGCTCGCATTGCCGGGTCACGGCGACCCTGCTGCTCGCCGGCGAGCCGCACTTTAATTCGCGGCCGCGGTCCTCTTCGGCCTCCAACTGCCGCGCCGCCCGCCGAGTCCCGAGCCGCCGCCCAATGCGCAAGCCGGAAGCATGCACTACGCCAAGCCCGCGTCCTTCTCTACCACCACCCTGCCGGCCGCCACCCAGCCAACCGCAACCGGAAATCGCTGCCTCCCAGGCGTCGCGCCCCCAGCCCGCCAGCCCGCTGCCGAGGTCAGGCATAAGGTAACCCACCCTAATCAGCCCCAGCGTCTGCGAGGCAGGCGTGCCTGCTGAATGCCAACACACACACTGTTTCAAAGCTGCCGCCACCGATGCATGTGCCCGTTCACCTCCCCACCTGGGTCCCCTGCCGCAGCGACTTGGCGTCCGAGCCCGCCTGCTCCCTTTCTGCTCCCAACCTTCAACCTTTTTGCCGCCACCAGTACCTCGCCCGAGACTACTTTTGTCTTCACCCCTCCAGCATCGTTGTTCGCTGGCGGCACGTCTGTCGCAGATCCCAACGGACCTGTGCCAACGGGTGCTGGGCTAGCAGCCCACCGCCAGGCAGACCACCCTTATACTCCTGGCATTCGCTGGGGGCATGTGCAGGACTGTGGGCAAAGGCCGCAGGGATGAACTTAACAAGCTCTTCAAGGTGCAGAAGGTTAAGGAGGAGCAGCAAAAGCAGCAGGTCGCCGCGCCTGTGGGTGGCGCAGAGCAGCAGCATGGAACTGGCCCCGCCCAGCCAGCCCATGCGGCCCAGGAGCAGAGGCTGGAGGTGGCAGCAGCCGAAGGCGGAGCTGGCGCGGGAGCTCCGGCTGCGCCCTCGCTGGACCTCTCAGCTGGCAAGTGGCTCCTGTGCTGATGGTAGCCAACTGCTTCTTCAAGAGAAGCAGAGTCAGGGAAAGATTGAAGCTTTGAATCTCTCTCCACTAAAAGAATCCCCTTGGTGTTGAAATCATTCAGAATTTCAGAACCAAGTTTAATAATTCTGATCACGCTGCGCCCGACATGCAAGCTGTCGCCATGTGAGAAGGCGTAATAAAGCTGTCGCCATGTGAAAACTGATGTCGCCCCCTCCTGAGAACTGATGTCGCCCCCATCCTGCTTCACTTATTCTCGAAAATTGCTTTCAGCGCAGTCAGATCAGAACGAGCGGCAACGTGGGTGCCTGGCAATGTATCTCCCGGACTAGGAAACACCATGGCATCCCTGCTCTCCACCTCTGGTCGGCGCACGGCCGTGGGACCCGGCTGGCTGCTGGTTTTGGTGCTCGTCGCTTTCCTGGTTAGCAGCCACTTCTGCATGCAACAGAGACTGTACACTACCGCAGTGTACCTGGGAGACGGCAGCGAGAACGATCGGCTGCCCGCCAGCAGTCGCCCCCGACGGGCTGCCGGCGAGCGGCTGCCGGCGGAGGTCTGGGCCGGCTTCACACCGCCCTACCTGGCCACAGCCAGCAGCCAGGTGACGAGGTAGTTTTAAACCCGCCCAAAAGCCTAAGGACCCCAGCACAACATTTGTCCCTCGAGCATGGACATTTAATGCAGGTTGTGAAACTGCTGAGCGAGAAGGAGTGCAAGGAGCTGGAGGAGCTGTGCGGGCGATGCCTAGCGGATGAGCTGTTCACCATGATCCCCTTCCACAATGGAAATAAAGTGCGGAGGTCCTGCCTGCCTCTATGCAGGCCCGACCCTGTCTCTTTGCTGCTCGCCCCCCCCCCCCCCCCAAA